GATAGCTGAGAGCTAATCAAAGAATTATGAGCTTGAGATTCTTTAGCCAGGTTAAAAAGTTGTGTAAGAAGGAACACAGCAAGGCTATAAAAACTGTAGAGAAAGCAAGTCATGGAACCATGGCCCTGGGAAAAGGTTTCATGTACTTATTTTTGAGGGAAAGATGTAGAACAGGCCCTTTTCAGACCTTTCTAGCAATTGGGTGCCTTTGATTAACCACTATGCCAAGTTTCAGCAGTGACTTAGGTCATAATCCTTGCTTGCAAGCTCCCCTGAAAGCAATTACTATACAATCCATTACTTGGATCCTAATTTTAACTCTGTGAGTGGAACAGAAGGCCACACGGAGGATACATGTAGCAAACACAACTTAAATATGAAAGGTTATGGTGGGAAAAGCCACGCTGCAAGCCCACGCTGCTCACAGCAGACTAAGTAACTCACCGTGCCCAAGAGCTGACACAGACAAATCCCGGTATGGCAAGCCAGAGGGGTCAAACACTACCATGCATGTTTGCAGAATGGAGTTTCTCCAGCCTCACCCTTCCCTCCGCAGCTCCCTGCACCCACTGAACATCTGCTCCTCAAAACCCATGGGACCTTGAGGGATAGTGTGGGATATGGAATGGTGGACCGCTAATGGAGGTGATGCAAGCCTTCCCTCAGGAAAGCATCCCACAATCCAGGAAGCTCGACTGCTCACCTGCTTCTAGGCATCTCAAGTGCTCACCTGCCATCCCTCAGGTGGTGGTGGAAGAAACAAAGAGCAGGGTCCCCTAGTACTGATCTAACTGGTTAGGGGGTTATGTGGAAAGGGTGTGCCTTAAGGTAAGGAGGCCCACTCATTCATTCATGGCAGGGATAGGGAACCTGTGGTTCTCTAGATGTTGATCCCATCAGCCCCACTAAGCATGGCCAGTATTCAAGGATGATGGGATTTGTGTGGTCCAGCAACATCCAGCGGACCACAGGTTCCCCACCCCCCCGATTCATGGAGTAACAATAAGGTTAAGGTCATGCCGCCACAGACAGTAGTTGAATTTGGAGCTCTCTCACTTACCATTCCAGAGCTGGGTCAGTGGTGGCAGCCATGGAGGGTGAGGGAATGAAACCTTTGAATTATGTGTGTGTGTGTGTGTGTGTGATATTAAGTGACACTATCTCAAGTTACTTTTCCCTTCCCAATTACACAAAGAGTTGGTTAAGTTCAGTGTTCAGATACACAAGAGATCCGTGACTGTGCCCAAACGCTTCAAGACATTCATGCAAGGCTACATCTATCAGAACAAAGCCACTTAAAAAGTGGCTGTTGGTTTTTAAATGTCCTAGGGAAAAAATAATAACCTGAGTTGAGTTCTGTGCTTTTGAAAACAGGTCCCCCCCTCTACTTGGTCTGCCTTCAGTGAATTTGCTTGCATAAACCTTGAAGAATCTTTTGAAAATATATATGTGTGTTTTTTTAAAAAAAATCATTAGCCATGATTCCAGGACACTGACACTCTTTTCTCAAAGAGCAGAAAGGAGCTGTGTTACTAAGACAGGACTTTGCAGAAACTTAATTAGTCTTTGGGGATATTATTTACTTCACAAGATGGGGAAGAAAACAAAGGTCTGTCACCAGCTAACACAGCTGAACTCCGTAGCTGCATTCATAGCTTCTGGGTTCGATTAAAGATTCTCTCTCTCTTCTTCTTTTTTATGCTTTCAAGGTCTCTTTTGCGGAACTTGACAGGATAATAGAATCAGATTTGTTGAATTCCGCTAAACTGTAAAGTAACGTGTCATCAGCTTCACTTACTTCTCAAATATTTTTCTGTGGTGGAGCTCATTAATCTATCCCTGCTCGCACATAAAACCATGAAACCAAAAGGGCAACTCAATCAGTTATCCAAGTGACAGGAAGTTAAACATTTAGCATGACTGCATACTATGACTGGCCACTGTCAGCAAAGGGCAGACAGCCTGTGGAAAGCCTGTCTTTCCACCTTTGGATGCAGAGTGCAGATCCCCTAAGAGGTTACAACTTTTTAGCTTAGAGAAAAGGTGAATAAGAGGTGTATACGACCATGGATGGTGTGGAGAAAGTAAAGAGAGAAAAGTTTGCCCTCCCTCTCTCATAATATGAGGGCCATGCCATGTAATGAAGCAGGAAAAAGCTACAAGATTCAGGACAAAGGAAAGCACTTATTCACACAGTGTGAAGCTAAACTATGGAATTCACTCTCACAAGAGGTAGGAATAATGGCCCCCAGTTTGGATGGCTTTAAGAGAGGGTTAGGCAAATTCATGGAGGACAAGGCTATCAGTAGCTACTAGCCACAATGGCTGTGTTCTCCCTCCATTGCCAGAGGCAGTAGGCCTAGGATACTAGTTGCTTCTATGATGCTCAGGTTTTGCTTGTCCCCGGGGGCATCTGGTGAGCCACAATGAGAACTGGGTGCTGGACTAGATGGGCCTGATCCAGCAGGGATGATCCTGTGTTCTTATGATGCAAATTTCATTCTTCTAGATGTGTTAAAGAAGACAAAATGTTTTGGGCAGAGCAATAGCTATGAGGCAGCTAGCCAGAGTGAAGACCCGGGTGAAGCCTCCAGAGGGGTGCCAGCCTGTGTGTGTGCAGAAGGAGGTGCCAAACTGGGTTTCTGACCCAGGTGAAATGAGGCCTTGTTTAACCCCTGTTTAGGTCTCCAAACATGCCCCCCCCATTCCTTCCCAGTTTTGTCATCAGCAAGAGGATATAAAAGCCTAGTTCTGAAATTTCCTGCTTGAGCAAAACCGAATCAGCTCAGTGAATTATTCTGTTGCTCCATGAGCAACTGCTCCTCCTAATTACTGTTGTTGCTGTTTAAATTATTACCCACCTTTCAGCATAAGGTCCTAGGATAGATTACAAAAATTTTAAATACAGTATTAAAATACAGTTTAAAACAATTGACAGTAGCAAGAATAGGGTGGGACCATTCTGAACATGCCTGATTGACACACGACTGCCGACGCACACATAGTTTTCGGTCCTGGAAGGGGGTGGAATGGGCTGACGTTTGACCAGTGGCGTAGCGTGGGTTGTCAGCACCCGGGGCAAGGCAAGTAATTTGCGCCCCCTAACCCGTGGATTTGCGCCCCCTAACCCTTGGATTTGCGCCCCCTAACCTGTGGATTTGCCCTAACCCCAGATGTTGCGCCCGGTGCGGCCGGCCCCCCCTGCACCCCCCACGCTACGCCACTGCGTTTGACTGCTGACGCGCACAATGACTCAGAATACACACAGCCTGTGCAAATGGGGAATTGCCTGTATATCTCATGTGTAAGAGGTGTTTCTTCTGCCTGCAGCAGAAACTGCATAATGAAGATGCCAGGCGCACCTCTGTGGGGAGGGAATACTACAACTTGCTAGGCCCAGTCATTCTGAGACTGGGAGACTAGTGTGAAGAGGGGACATTTAGACCAAAAGCAGCCTATGACTACATGAAGAATTGTTGGAGGTTGAGAAACCTGGGTGTGCAAATCTGGGTGTGCGAATCCTGAAATGCATTGGCTCCACCTGTCATTAGCTCTTGGCCTCTCTGCCTTCCCAATGGTCACTAGCTGCCATTATGTGCATGCTGAAGGGTCTTGCACACACCAAAAGCTGCTCTCTCTCTAGATTCTGACCCAAGCTTTCATCCCCAGCTTAAGTTCCCACAGCATTCTTTGGAACACTGTAGCGTTATGAACAGAAAGGACTGCATTTACAAGGCGAGCATTGAGCAGGTAATTTCATGCCTCCTTAACTTTGTGTGTGGGTGAGAAGGCAAAAGTAGATGTGTGTGTACCTTGCTACTTTGGGTAGCTAAAATGGGGGTGGAGGGTGTGGAAAAAATGCACTGCAATGGATGTTAGCACATAGCGCAGAATCCCTCTCTCAATTTGTATGTTTTAAAAAATTAAAGCCTCAAGAAACTATTGTCATTAGAAAGCTAGGTCATTAATCATCCCAGTGTGTTGTATAATTGAAAAAAACACTGAATCTGCAGAAACCATCTTCATTTTACTTTACATTTTGCCTCTGGGCGACTCTTTTAATGTTCTATTTATAGGACTGGAGTTAGTTAATTTGTATTGCACAGAATTTGAGGGGGGAAACTGTTCTGTAACCCTTTGGGTTATACAGGAACCCATTTCAGCAAGCTAATGAGCTTGGGTGGCGCACTGAGATGAACATTAAATTACAGTAGCAGGGAGGCTGCTGTGATAACTACTTTTCTCGCCCTCTTGGGTATCTATAGTGTAACCTAAATGTGTCACTCGCTCATTCTTTTCATGCAAATCTATTATATGCTGCAGCACAAAAGAGGAATGTGGTATAAGATCCTTCTGACATTTCCATAACCTGCTTGTTTCCAGCTCACTCTTGTTGATCTTTCTTTTAACTGGTGAGCATTGGAAGGGTGCAAGTGGAACATTTAACCAAAGGCGTGTGGAGTACTGATATTTGTATGGAGTACTGTACTGCTATTTGGGTTTCCTGCCACTCCATTCCATTCCCCCTGGTTTTCTTTCCCTTCCCTCTAATACTTCGCCAGCATTTGGTGCCTACTGAACATGCTCATTCTTCACTAAGCTGTTTTTTGGGTCCAACCCTTTGGGGCTCCCCCCAAAAAAAGATCAGTTATACTTCTGAAAACCTTGCAGACCATTTTACCAGGACTTTTAAAACTAAGTTCGGGAAATAATCAACTACACATTTTTCTAGTGCTGTTGTAGATTGTGTTGCCAGAGTGACACTTAAGATGCTGAAGCACGCAGATTGTGTTTTGTCTCCTAGAAGAAATAAAGAGACTAGTTTTCTTTCTGTGTTGCTTTCAGGTGACATTTCTACTAGGTGCTAGTAGTTGTCCAAACAGCCGATTATTGAAGTACCAGGCAACTCTTAGAACCCCATGGGTCAAGGAAGGATCCTTCCTTCCTTCCTTCCTTCCTTCCTTCCTTCCTTCCTTCCTTCCTTCCTTTTGCATTCTTACCTTTGTGACCAGACAGCATAAGTTCTTGCATTCAAGGCATATTCCAGCTCAAAACGGCTTCGTAAAGCAGCAACATGGCTGCGCCCAGGGCATCCTCGAGCAACCAGGCAATCCGAGGAAGAGGAAGGAGAAAGAGAACCACTGCTGTTGCTAGAGGCTGGTGACATCAGCTGGAATTAACAGAGAGAACACTGTCAATACCCACTTATGAGAACTGTGAAATCTTGCCAGAAAAGCTGACAGCAGGAGAACTCACCATATGCAGTAACTCACAAGGAACTTTGCTCCAGTCCCCAGCTATTTCTACTGCTCTCAACATGTTAGGTTTCAGAAATTGTTGCCAAGAGGATGCTAGTCATTGTCGCCTGTACAAAGCATTCTGTTATGTTTTCTGTTCAGGGGGCTGAACATGTACTCTCGCATGTATATGCTGTTCCAAGGGTTGGCCAAAGAGAGACCCTTCAACTATCCTCCAACCACACTGGAAGATGGCAGCCTCCCCAGGACCCATCACAGCTGTGCCATGTGGCAAACGTTGCTCCTTGGACCCTAAGGAGTTATTCCAGCTCCCATCAGCCCCAGATAGCATAGGCAATGTTCAGGGATGGTGGGAGTTTTAGTTCAACAACTTCTAGAAGGTTTTCTTACATTAATGAGGAGACAGGCAGGTGCAAATCAACAGTTTGTTCTGGTTTGAACAAGCCCAGAGAGTGTCTTCACATCTTATTTCATGTGGCCAACAAAGATCCTAAAATGTTAGCCTCCCTTTATGACAGCACTTGCTCCTTCAAACTTCACCATTCTGTTGCTCTGATGATGGACGCGATGTGTTTTAGCCAGCTAAGTATTGCTCTTCTTTCTGAAGCTTACATGGGCTCACACCCCAGATTTAATCTCATATAAACTGCTGACTATGTATCACAGGAGCTAGCTAGGTCTCCTCTGAGATAGCACAGTTACTTGTGATATACTGCTTCAGGCTGTCAACAAAACAAAACACACATGTACACACACACTTTCTTAGAGGCACTTCCACCTACACACAATGTATCATGCTGCAGCTGGAGCTTGAAAAATGAAATAGATCAGTGTTTCCCAACCTTTTTTGGGCAAAGGCACACTTGTTTCATGAAAAAAATCTCGAGGCACACCACCATTACAGCCCCGTGACGTCAGCGCGCAGCGTCACGCCGGGAGGGACATGAATTGCTAGCAAATTACATAATCACCTCCTTGAGGGCTGGCTCATCTTCTCCGAAGGCAGAACCCCATTAATTAACAGCACAGACTCACACCATAGCCAAGACGAGGGGGGGAAACCTCAGTCATGCACAGTCATGCACATGTGGGGGCTAAATGAGGACGAAGACCGGGCAGAGAGCAGGGTTCAAATCACCCCACCTGGCCAGGACAATCCCTGGGTGCTCCCTTGGGCCACTCGCCTGACCCACCTCGCAGGGCTGTTGTTGCGAGGATAACACGGGGAGAACCACGCGCGCCCCCGGGAGAGGAGGAGAAAGCGGGCGATGAATGCAATGCATGAAATATATGAGAGGCGACCAGGTTTTGCAGGTGAGGGGCCCCCGCCAGCCTCCGCTTCCAACACCCGGCGCAACGACGCCGAAGTTTCCCCCCGGGCTCGGCTCGGGGAGCAGCGCCGCTCCCCCCCGGCTCCCCTTTGCCCTCCCGGCTCTCTCTGCCGCCCACTGGGGATCCCCATCACCTGCCAAGTCCGGAGCGCCGGTGGAAGTTGCATGCATGCATGCAGGGCGCCGCATTGCCATTGCCATTGCATTGCACTGCACTCCATGCAACGCCTGCACGCATGCATTGCCTTGCATGCCCGCCAAGGGGTCTCCCCGCGGTGCGATGCGTCCCCTCTGGCGCGGATCCAGCATTGCAAAAATTAAAAAACCCCGACGCAGCCCTACCTGGGGGGCAGCCTCCGCCTCCGCCGCTCCGCCTCCGCGGGGATCCCCGGCCTCCATCCTGCGGCCCGATCTCCGCGGGGGTGCAGGCAGGCTGCGCGGGGTCTGCGCGGAAGAGCCCCTGCCCGCCCGGCCGCCGCCGCGCTCATTCCATGGCCGGGAGAAGAGCGCTTCAAACAAAAAGCCCGGCCCGCCAGGCCACGCTGGGAAACGTAGTTCGCGCACCCCACGCGGGCGCGGAGCCCAAGGGCGAGGGGACTACGGATCCCGGCAGCCCCCGTGCCGGGGACAGAGGGGGAGAGGCCGGGTGCAGGGATGGAGGGACGGGTGGGCGAGCGAGTGAGTGAGTGGCAGCCGCCAAGCCTTGGCCGAGAGCCAGGAAGGGCCTCCCCGGAGGAGGAGGAGGAGGAAGGAGGCGCAGAGCGGGAGGGAGGGAGGGAACCCCAGGGGTCATCTAGTGACGGCGCCCCAATCGAAAATTTGACTTTAAAAAAAAAATCTTTCAATTTTTTAATTTTTCCCGCGGCACACCAGGCAACATCTCGCGGCACACTAGTGTGCCACGGAACAGTGGTTGGGAAACACTGAAATAGATGACGGGAGTCACTGCTCTGACCCTTTGGCTCAAGAGTGGTGATATACTTTGATAGGAGAGGGAAGGAAATGGGGAACTTTCCCCACATGCGCAGCCCTGGTTGCCAAGATCAAGCGTGTCGTCTGTTTCATCAGCTATCCTCTCGGTTGAAAGCCAAAAGGACTGGGATATTTTTTTTAGCCATAGACTGAAGTTAAGTTCCACTGACTCAGCTGATTGCTTTAGAAAATACTTGATCTGGTATTTTCTTCCTTCAACACTGTGAAATTTACTTTTTCTGAGGGATGAAGCCACAGGGCTCAAAGCAAGGAAGGGATTGGAAGGAAGAAGCCCCAGAATTTGTTTTTGAACTGCAGGGTACAGCCCTTGGACATGTGAAAACCTAGAGCATTGGAGAGCAGTGAACCTTTGAGCATGATTTTTCTTTAACCACAGTCCTTAACCACAGTCCTTGGTGAGCATTTAAGGTCCCCAACCCTAATCTGCGGGTTGCCATCTGATTGGATTTTATTCTGGTCCCGATCTGATTTGAGGATGTATTTTAATCGATTGTCTGATTTTATGTTAATGTGTTATACATTTGATGTTAGCCGCTCGGAGCCCGGCTTTGGCTGGGGAGGGGGGGGATATAAATAAAATTTATTGTTGTTGTTGTTGTTGTTGTTGTTGTTGCCCAAACCAGTGGTGCACTTGGGGCAGGACTTTGGTGTAAAGGTCAAAGGATCCGTTATGCAAAATGAGCAGGGTTGGCTTACCACATTTTGAAATAATACAGAATGCCGCATTAATGTTCTTGTGGGAGGAGACCCTCTCAAGTTCAGAATGTAATTCCTTGCATTTGGCATTAGATAGCACCAGGACATGATTTCAAGGATGCTTCAGAACTTGTTTCTTAATGGTGAGTGGCATGGAGGTTGCTGCAGTATACCCCGTGCCACTAAGGTGAAGTGAAAAGCCCTAGATCACATAGGATGACCTGTGGCCATTGTATAGCCATCAGCCACATGGTATGAGGCTCCTCATGAAAGCCAATAAAACTAGTTCAGTAATATTCGGGTTCATACACATTCTGATCTGAAAAAATATGCTGAAAGCAAAGGCATTAGGATGTTGTATGCTAAACCCAAATGCTAGACTGTAAGCCCTTGTAAGCAGGCAAAGTTGATCTTGCTTGTGCTAATTAACTTCTGCTAATCACATTATGTTGAGTAAGCTCATTTAGCAAGGACCTTTGGTATGATCTGGAGGCTCAGCTCTTGCAAAACTTTTCTTGCATGTCCTAATTGCCAATAACCCTATAACATCAATGCAGACATTTACCCTTTGCACCATTTCAGTTTGTAAAGTTTAGAAGAAGAAAACGCAAAACTAAAGTAAGTAGTTCAAGGGTGGTAGTTTGACCCATTTTGTGACATCATTGATAAGAGCTGGTTGCTCTGGTTTAGAGATGCTGCAAGACAAGTGACACATGGTTCAAGATACCTGTTTTCTGCGTTGTTTCTCTTTATGGCAAAATGGGGAACAGACAAGCAACCGTTTTCTCCAGGGAGCCAAAGGTAGACATTGTAGCATGTGAAGTGCACACTCAAAATTTCACATACAAAGCTGCCTAATGCCAAGGGCTGAATTAGATATTACATGAAATTTCAGTGGTGGGTGGATGACAGGGGAGGGGCTGGGGGAGGGGAAGTTAAATACCAGACGTGGGAACAAAAATATATAAGATTGTGCACAGTATGGGAATTGTATTTATTTATACATATATAGCCCACTTTTCTTCCATCATGGAACCCCAGCCTGAGTTCATGTGGTTCCCCAGCTGCCCTTTATCCAGGCACTGCCCAGACCCACACCTTGTGTGCCTTCGGTTCATACCCTGGGACCAATGATGTTTCCCCCATGCCACCTTTAACTCTCATTGCTTGTTTCTACGAATGGAGACGAATGAGGACTTCTAACCTTAGGCTCTATTTTTTATGGTGTGATGTCTCTGTTCCTTCACTATTTAAATGGCATTTGTTTCCTGCATCTCCTCCCTATTTCATAGCTAAGATCGCAGCGGAGCACATCAGCTTGAGAATGCCAGGCACCATATCTTGCAATATTTCTGGAGTTCCTTCTGTGAGCAACCAGCCCAGCCATCATCACACTCGCTCATAACTATGCATTCATGTTGCTTACCAACTGTGACACGTTCTGCCATTACCTCAATATTGCACAGGCACTCTTCTAATTTGGAGACCACTTCAGAAAATTCAGGCCTTCCCTGCAAATATATAAGGACAGAACAACAATATAAGTACAAAGAAAATTGAGTCTGTATTGGTGAAGATAGAAAACAAAGCACTTCCAGCCATACACTTCCAATTTCTAAAAGGTACTGGCTTGGATCCTAAGGCAAGTTAACTTAAGGAAGTTCACACCTACAGCCATGCTGGAGGGTTGGCGAGTCTCTCTAAAGAATATGGGCCAGGGTCATAGTACAAAGGTGCTGAGGTCTGTGATAAAAAGCTTTGCCTCCATGAACTTCCTTAACCTGGGATCTAAGCTGAACTGTAGGTAACCGATGAGCCATACTGAATGCTTTCTTACCATTCTGTGTCTTTTCCTTGCCTCCCGCAACTCTTTGAAAAGAGGACCTTCTCAGATGGATGAAATTACAGCTTCAAGGTTTAGGGATCCAGCACCTCAACACCCCCTAAAGTGAAGCTATCACTTGTAACAACTTAAGCAGCATGTATGATGCCTATAAAGAGTCCCATACACAGACTAATTTAAGGGCCAAATTAGACATGGTGCTAAATGTGTTTCTTATAAATGAAAACAAAAATGGAAGAATGACAATGGTTTTCCAACCCTGTAGTCTGCATCAACACCTGACTTTTAAGCAAGTGTAATTCTTTGAAAAGTGATGGGTTCACTGCTTAATTACAATTAAGTCATGAATAGCAATAATAATGGGTTCACTGCTTAATTACACTTAAGTAATGAATAACAATATTAAAAAGTCAGGGCCAAGATATGTGTGCGTGTGCGTGTATACAGATATATGTACATGTACCCTTTTTTCATCCCTTTTAGGTGCATTGCTCAGTCTGCTTGCTATGATGATTCAGTTAACCGCATCATGCCCTCCTTCATGCGTGGTATGCTCTGAAGATATTACTCTGTGTCAAGGATTAACATATATACTAGGTAACTAAGTAAGACACTTACAGAGAACTGATATTTATTCTATACTGTAAGCTCACACAGCACAGCTGTAATTGTATTGACTGCTTCTTGTGCCTGCTGCTGCGAGGTAAACTTTCGGAGAGCTAGCCTTTCACATTTTGACTGGAGAGTGATAGCATTGTTTCATTTCTCTTTGCCTAGAGGCCTTATCCAAACTATTCCAAGCCCTTCAGAGGTAATTGAAAACCTTTGTTACCGAGAACAGAGTCATTTCACTCAGCCAAAAGAAAAACAAAATAGATCATTTTAATAAGTTTTATCCACATTTTGTGCAAAGTTCAAGCTGTCCACTGGCTGAATGAGCTATCAATTGCCTTCTAACCCTGCCAAGGAACCCTTCAGCATTAGCAAGATTAAGTGATGTACCAATGATACAGATTAGCATCATAAAGTGCATTATAATTCTGAAAGAAAGTATGCTTTTTCTTCTCTTGGTGTTAAATGAGCTGTGGAAATGCTAACAAGATACAATGCCTGTGTTCATTATGTATTGCTTGTTTAAGTCAACAATTTAATAAGACACCTGATTAACAAATTTAAAGCAAAGTGCTGCTGATTCTTAGGAAAGGAAAATTGGCTTATTGCCATCAGCAGAAAAAAAAAATCCTAGCCTAATAGTTATAAAAATAATATAAAATGACCCACAAAATCAATAATCCTTTTCCCTGGATATACTGTTCCCATTTGGCATATGAGGAAGAAAAAATTAAGGGACCCAAATGTGATGCCAAATGTAAATAAATGCAGTAACTTCCTGGGTTTTGTGATGATCTCCTTTGCTGCCATCCTACTCCCATAACAAATATGCCAGTGAAAGTCTCTCTTCCTAGAAAAGCTTTGAAGCATTGGCTCTACATTAAGCTCATAGCTAAATACTCAGTAGGTGTTTAATGGGAGATTCAAGGTACAGGTGGTATTTAGGCCGTGTCCTCAAGCTGGGAGGGCATGTGAGGAGATGCTGAAGGTTCGTCCCTGGGTCAAGCAACCTCTCTGTCAGGGATGGGGACCTCCAAATGTTGTTGGACTCAAACTACCTTCAGCCCCAGCTAACAGGGCCCAAGATCAGGGGTGGCGAGAACTGCAACCAAAATTCATTTGGAAGGTTACAGGACACCCCCCCCCCACTGTATGTCTCCCTCAGCCATGTCTTAGGGGAGCATGGAAGGCTATGAAGCCAAGGCAGGACGTGGTCAGAACAACTGTTTTCAAAGTCATATTGGGCCGAAAACAGGGAGGATGGTGCATGCCTATGTTAAACATTCCTCAAATGCCTTGCCATGTGTAAATGTATGCATGAGTCAGCTTATCTGTGTGCAGAGCTGATGACCTGGACAAGGTAGCTAGCAGTGGCACACTAACTCCTCTAAACACAAACCGACTCAAGTGTTAAATGCATTTATACCTGATGGTGATTCATGGGACACTTACACAGGCAAGTGCTTTGCCCACAGTCGCCATCGAGTCTACTTCGGCTTTTAATGCGAGGCTAATTTGGCTGTGAGGATAGTAGAGGCCCAATGATTTTAAACTCTAATCAAAATCAATACAAATTAAGCTCCCACTTTGCAAGATGAATTCCCTGACTTTGAAGGCTGTTCTACGTGGAAGAATTGATGCCAATTTAATTAAACCACATTGTAATTGAAAGCTGTGTGAAAGTCGGTGGTTTCCAGGGAATAATGGGAGTGTTTCTTTGCTTGCTGCTCAATGCCCATGTGTTCTCGTTCAAAGTTGTGCTTTGGAGGTAGTCAAAAGCAATGTCAAAAGAATTCCATTCCATTTCAAGTGGGAATGCTATGATACATATAAAGTCATATATAATTGTTTCAATTAATGAAGATCAAGACTGCATCATATAGGCCATAGTTCTTTTAGGAAGAATCTCTGAATAGTCAGAGAAGTCATTTAAAAGGGTACTGTTAAACTTCTGGGCTACATTTCATAATCAGATTTGATATTAGGCCGTTGATATTAGGCTTTCAAGAGGAAGCGCATTCGGCCTTTGCAGAAGAAAGATTGGACAGAGCCTTGTAGGAACTAAGCTGAACGAAGAAAGGCTAGATCTACAATAGTGGGATTTGCTGAGTACAACTATTTCAAAATCAAGTTTACAGTTCAGTCCATGGGTCAGAGGAAGGGTCAGGCAAGGTCAGGATGACAGGCAGGTACATCAAGTAAAGGAGTAGCTGAAATGAGGTGAATACGCAAAAAACGACTCACACTAGGCAGAGGCGTACTTAGGGGGTGGGAGGCACTGGGCACCACACGGCAGGGGGAGGCACTTACCGCAGGGCCTGTAGAGCACCCGAGCCATGTGTCTCTCCTGGGCGTGACACAGTGGTTTAGGCACCTGCAGGCTCTGCCGCCCTACAGCTGATAGGGAGGCTGCGGCAAGGCTCCATGCAGCATGGCCTACCCGGGCTCACCCCGCCCAATGGTTGGCTTGCCCTGCTCCCAAGGGTGGCTAGCTACACCATTGCACTAGCCTAGGATTAAGTTATGGAAGACTTGGATGGGGACTAGTGAGATGAGATGAAATTTCTGGAGGGAAGGGAATAGAACCAAAGCACAAACTGGAATCTAACCCTATGTAGCCCAAGGAAGAGTCCATAGCAAAAGGCTAATGAACCTATTGCTAGCTGCTTCCTGTTAAAAGTCCTAGAAGGCAGCTGAAAGGCTGGTGCTTGAAGAGTTTTAGCACAGCTGGGTGCTGCCAAACTTATGGACTCTGCTCAATACGTGCAAAAACTGAGAAGCTTTCCGTTATTTGGTTTTTCATTTCAGCGAGAAATTAAAATTGCAAATCTCACAAAGTGTTAAAAACAATAAATTAGAGCTTTTGGTGTTTCTAAGTAATTGATGGCCTGCAGGCAACAACTTGTAGTGTACTGCTGCATTGGGGGGGGGGGGATACTGATTAGCCCTCTAGCCAATTGCCTCAAATCCTCACTTTAAACCTTTGTGCTGGATTGAATGTTAAGATCAGGTAACATTGTTAACAGCTGTCACAAGCATACCTGTGCTGGTATTCCAAGTTATAGAATCCGGCAGTTAAACTATTTCATTTGCAAGTAATCCAGCAGTACTTAACTACCCTTGTGCCTTTGCTATTTTAAAGCCTGCGTTACTTTGCTCAGTGACAAATGTACTGCCATATCTGTTTTAACATTGGCAGATGCAACGTAAGCACACTTTCGCAACCATTCTGCCTCATTCAATTAGTACATGCATGCTAATATGCTGAAGTGGCGGCGCAGTAACCGGCGTTGTCATGATAACCCATAATAACATCAACTTTTATCTTGCAGAAAGTGCTACTCGTTTAATGGCGGCTCTGTAGTCTTCCGTCAGTCATTTTACCAACTGTACGATACGTAAGCTAAGACTGGGCTAATCTCTATCATATAGAGGGACCTGATTAAAAGCAATACACACCACAGCAGGGGGACTGCATTCAGATGCCTTAATGAGAGCCCTATGGGAAATCCTCCAAGGCATCAATAAGAAAACAGACCCCCTGTCAAGTTTATTACAACCGCCCGAGGCAAAATAATCCATATTGTAAAGGGAAAACAACAAATGACTTCCCAGCACAGATAAACATTAGCATCAGTAAATTGGTGAGGTAGCTCAAATGACAGTCGCTACTCAGGGGACGCCCTCGCTGGTAATAGCAGGAGTGCATCAGGTCAGGATTGAGGCACGGTGGCTGAGCAGCATGTGGGAAGCTTGCCTGCTCGGCGTGCTTATGTTAAAGTGCTGTTCGTTTCTCACTTCCATTAGAAAGGTGGAGAGGCGGGGAAAATCTTTTTGCATATTACAGCATAAAAATCATTGTGATAAGCAATGCATTAACTTTGACATCTAGTGGAACAGATGGTTTTCTGTTTCTTGAACAAATCTGTCACACAGGAGCACAGTAAACCCCCCCCACCCCCAAAAATATTAATATACTGGTAACGACAAGAGTGTTGTATGAAGCTTTTGATGAATTTAAGCTACTGTCTGAGTGAGCGTGGTGCTGGGAGAGGG